GAATTAAAGGTAGATATTAAAAATAGGAGCTGTGTAGCAGAGCAAAAAAGAGTTGAAGTCCGAAGACTCCTATTCCACTACTGATAACCAAAGTGTAAGTGGCTGGATCGCAAGACTCCTTCTGCACTCGCTGTGTATTGCCTGGCAATGCTCATCCTGTGGATGATGCTGACTGAACAGATGACTGACGGAATCCTGATTGCAAAAATTACCTGATCTCTTTGGATCTTGGTTGTCTCATCTATAAAAGGAATGTGCTGAAGTAACACTTAGATCTCTTTCAGATGCTACTTTCTATAAAAATTAGTGACTTCTAATTTAACATATCTTCATCAAGATCTGCTTGAATCTTATCAAAGCAGTAAGAAGATTGCTTGTATTTTTCATACACTAAAGTCAGATTGATCACTGCATATTTTTCTAAAATAAATACTAAGGTTGAGAAAATGTGGGGTTTATTACTGGCTATTTGTTTAGAATCAATTCCAGCAACATCACACACAACTTACTATACAATGTCTTTGAACAGGTTTTGACTATAATCCTGTGGTACTCAGACTTGTCACACCAAAAGTGAGGAGGGAAAGGACACATCGATCATTTTATAATCAATTCAACAAATAGTTTGTAAATGTTTGCTTTATTCTTTACATCTAACCTTTCAATCTAAGGTAAGATTCCTCAGTTTATATGATGGGTCAAGCTAATGGTATAGTAATCCTCTTGAATATTAAATTTTGTGAACTGCAAGACATAAAATTTAGAGAAAAATCATGGCAATGAGATAGAATAATGTCACTTTAAATGTTTGTTGATCTATCTTTTCACCCTCCTGTCTCTCTTCCTTTCTCTGTCTCTTTCTCTGTCTCTTTCTCCATCAGAGTGTCAAAGTAAGTACTGGAATTTAGTTATTTTTCAGTGTGCCTAACTGGACGACAGAATAGCACATGCACAGAATACAAGAGGAGAACCACCTAGTTAATTTATATTTATCTCCTACTTTAGTGTAGAGTAGGGCCATGGAGGAAGCCAGTTGTCCAGAATGGAAGAATAGCAGATATCTACCGACTATGAATTAGGGAATGGAAATAAAATTCAGTTACAGGTGATAGCAATTTCCATTTCTCATCATTGACTTTTATTTTTAACTTTTCATCTTGGAAGACATCTTTGACTTTAAATGAAACTTGCTTTGGAAAATTTCATTATCAGACCAGGATTTTGTTTCTCCTGAAAGCTTGCCAAATCAGAAATAGATGTCAGTGGGAAAATATTCCTTGGTCTTCTAGAAAAATTTGCAGTTGTTAAAAGTTGTTACAAGTTGTGTTCAATTCTCAGTGCCACTGTTTCCTAGGTGTGGAACCTCTGGCAATTTGTTTAGTATCTCTGAGATTAGGTTTTGTCTTCTGTAAATGGTACTTAACTCATAGATGGTTGTGAGGATTCAATGAGATCACACAGGTAAAGCTCTGTAGCCCAGCACTGGGCACATGATACATTCCTAGTCATGGTAAGTCACCATCAATATGGGGAACTGAACTGCAAGAAAATCTAAGAGTAAAAAAATAACCAAAGCAAAAATTTGAGTTTGCCAGTATTTCTGACATATTATGTCAGCATACTATTTAAGAGTAAAATATTTTAGCAAAACAACTAGGCATTTCAGGGACATGAAACCATCCCTTATTGAGCAGAGCATAGCCCCACAAAAGGTTGACTGGAGTTTTATGTTTCGGGATTAGATCACTGCATGCAGTACAACAAGAGTCTGATTTCTTTTCTTATGGAATCTAGAGAAAGAGCTTCAGATGGATGATCAAACACCATGATGCCTTAAACACTCAAGGGAAAGTTTCTGAACCCCTCATTTCTGTGGGCAAATGGCTGTTTGCCATTTCTTCCACTTGGCTTTCTGCTGTGAGTGCAGGCTGTGTTCGAGCTAGCCTAATTGCTACAATTAACAAAATTAAATGGCTCATTGTGTTTTTATACAATTCCACCCACATTCTGCAGTTTTACTGTTGAATGAGTAATCCTACTGTTGAGACTATTGATCACAGGCACAGATTGAGTCTTTCTGTGTGCCCATTTCTAGGATAGCAACTGGACCGCATACTGCAGTGGACAGTGCAGCCTGCCTGAGTGAGCAGGGGAGATGCAACCCAACTGCTGAGATCACTTCACAGCCTGACACAGGTTAGGGCCAGAGACTTGGAAACGGAGGTAGGGTGTGGGGGGTGAGTGGGCGGTAGAGGGAAATGGCTCTTCCTCAGCCATGTTGAAATGCCCCGGCTTCAGAAGGGGAAGAAGGGTGTTATGAGTCACAAGCTGGCAGAAGCAATCATTTTGATTGTTTTCAAAAGTGACACTGGACTGTTGAAGATAAATGAACATGAGTTGATCTGCATCCATCACTGAATTTATAGAAACCACCACCTCAGATCGGCTGTGTTTTCACCATGCACTTCAAGCATCCTCTGAGCTATATTTCTGAAAGACAGTCTGAGCTATTTTTAAAAAGGCTTTAAGGAATTCTCCTTAGAAACATAAAAATGCAGGCATCTCATCCAAGCTTTATATAGAAACAGTAATGGCTAATGGCAAAGATGTATGTGAAAGCAGGGGAGCATATATTTAGTCTAGAAAATGGTTCATTAGAAAAAAAATGGATCCTTGTCTAAACATTGTGGGAGAACTTGTTCCACTCAATGGCATTTGGTACATTTAAAGGCAAATGTGTAGCCTTACACAATTCTGGTAAGGACACGAGAGTTTTTCTTTTCTCAATTCAACCAGATGGGAGAAAGAAACTTTGAAATGATTCAAAACACTATTCAGCTGCTTAAAAGATGAAACCTTTTCTGAGTGATACAACCTATTTAAGCTCAAAGTGCTAAGTTGCATCTAGGTATTTCCCACATTACAAGTATGTGGATGTCTTATAGACAGGGACCGTAAGCTTGGGCTGAAAAAGAAGAGGAAAACGCTTTTCCACTAAAAGTTCATGTGTCGGTAACACACCAGGTGATATGCATGAAAGAGCAGTATATACTTCATCTTTTCCATCTCTGTTCCTTTAGTTGTGTGTGTATGTGTGTGTATGTAAAACATACATGTGTGTTATATATATACATATATAACATATATACATGTTATGATACCTTAAAAAACAGTCATTAAGATTTCAGTGATTCCCATTCACTTTTCATTGGTCAGTGCTATCGCTTCATTTACTCCTAGAGCAAAATAAATTGGGCATTTGGGAATTAAGCATACATATGTCATTATACTTTTATCTTCGGGTTATCTTTGTATTTGGTATTGTGGTAATACTCGAATTGCATGTTCTTGCCAAGTAAGTAAGAGAATTTATTTCGTTTGTTGGGTTCACGGCATTATCATGAGTGGATAGTAACTGAGTGTCTGCAAAGTCAGTGTTATGAACAAGACAGCACATAGTTAAGTAGGTCAATGTTAATGGCCAAGAGAATTTAAAGGACATAGTCATTATGGGGGAACCAAACTTTGACTTAACATGGAAAAAATTTTTTTTCCTCCACACAAATACTTAAAAATCTCAGTATGGTTAAGATATGTATGTTCTTTAATCTTAAATACAGTTTCATTTTAAAATGCTAATTTGAAAGTGAAAAAAATGCTTAACATTTTCTCTTAGAAAACTTTATAGTCCTATGCAAAAAAGTGAGTGCTAAGAGCAGGACCCCCTCTCCCCGCAGAGAATCCAAGTAGACTCAGACACAGGAAGTTGGGTCTCACAGAAGAAGAATCCAGCATTTCCAATCTGCATGCTAACCATAGCGTGTTCTTTTTGGATTCTCCGGTTACTGTCTGTGGAGGGTTTCATGGCAGATTGAAAATGAAATCTCAGGAAGAACTAAAATACAAAGACAAAAATCAAACTTTGTTCCTTTGTACATTGACAATGTCTCTTTAAATCCTAATACTTTAAACTCTCTGTTATCTGTGTATCTGGAAACTAATAATGGTTCTCATCACCACACCATCTGAGGGCAGTGCAGTCTTTTTCTGAATCATGGAAAGAAGATTAGGTCACGATTTTCCTCGGAAGTAAATTTTTTCGGTTCTTGTAATCTTGAGAAAGTTTAGAAAAATTTATGGTGGAGCTGTCATTTCCTTAGCAAGAATTTTTGACTAACTGAAACATCAGTCTTCCAAGTGTGTTGGATAACAGAGTATTTACAGTATTTGGGAAATCACTGAGAAATGCAAACATCTTACACCCTCCTAACTGTATTCTTACCTCCAAGACAAAGCACAGTACATTATCGTTTATTCACACGGCACTCATTTTGACTCTTCACATGTTAAATGAGGGATCAAATTGAGAAATAACTCAGGACTTACATGATTGAGGCGTGGTGGGGCCTGCTGAGTTTGTGTTGATTGACCACTCTACCTGTAATCTGGTATTTACTCATGGAATCAAAGGTATAGTTCAATTGAGCCATTCAATTTCCAAAGATCATCAATTAAAAGTTTTCTTGGAAATAAGGAAGCTAATAACTCATGGTCCTGCACAAAAGTGAAGAATTTTTGCCAATATAACCATTTTTTTTCCTTCTACAGTGGGGGTGCACTGTTTTCACCAATTGCTGACAAGAAGAGCGTCTTCCTGGGCCTTTACTGGCGACTAGGTAATCTTTTCACACCCGAACAAAAGGTTATTATTTTTTAGTGGAACTCTTGCTTGGAGGATCAAATCATGTAGTACTAGGAAAGTATGTCTACTGATAAAAAATCATCTATTTTTAAAATATTGCTCTGGGGCTTTGTACCAAAGGAAGTCATAGGTTGAGCCCTCTGCCATTTCCTGTGGATGTGATGTGTGACACACCCACTACAGGTGGTGGCTATTGAACTTGACTATTTTAAGTGGATTGTACAGTCCAAATAACCGAATAATTAAGCTAAATGGACTTTTTCTTTTCTCTCTCTCTCTCGTTTTTTTTTTTTTTTTTAGTGACTTGACTAATATTTAATATATAAGTTGGGTTAATATAAAACCAGGGAAGGAAGTTTAAGACATCTTCCACTGTGGTAAGGCTTGTGATAATGGATGGATGAAAGTAATCATTTAGAGCTTTCACATCCTGGGAAACATTGGCCAGTCTTGCTTGACAAGCCCTTTCTAGTTAAGCTGATTCTCTTGTCACCTGATATTCTCAGAGCACCCCTGGCCAGGTTCCTGGGGGCACCAACATTGCAAAGTTGGGTGATCTTGCAAGAGACAAGCGTTCTCAATCTGCTGAGGCAGGCTGATGGAATTTGTGGACCAGTTTCTGACATCCCAAGTAATTATGATGCTTAAAGTATTTTAAATGATTCCAGGTCTATAAAAAAAGTGATGATGCCTATATGTATACCCTATATTTTTTATTACAAAAATATTGAAATAATCCATGAGTTATTCCACTCTGCACCAACTATAAAAAAATACTATCAAAGTTTGACCGGCACTTTTAATGCAACAAAAAGCACCATGACCGAGGACACTGGGAACAGAAAGCAGGGAACGTTTACTTGCTGTACGGAGGTATTTAAAACCCAGAAGTTTGTCGTAAGAGTGTGACTTTACAAATGATTCAAATACAAATTTTAGCTGGATCTAGTGATAAGCCCTCAATCAGTTTGGAAGGGTTTTCTCATAGCATATTCACTGCATTGTCTGCTCATACTTACTAAAAAGTGTCCCAAAGCCTCTAAAAGACACATCACTTTGACCTTGGATTGGGGGGAGGGGGGAGTCTGTACACAGTGGGGAGCTTGATGGTGCGCTCTCACGTCCACATTTGGGGGGCTCACGCCACTGGTTCTCGGGTGTTTGGGACTTCCACGTCAGTCCTGTGGTTGGACGGTGTTTGGCACTACGAAAGTGTGGCGTGGTGTGCTCTGGAGTCCTCACACTGAGCCACACTTTTCTGCATCTTGAAACATCCGGTTCAGCATGTTCCTCTCCTGCCGCTCTGCACCTCCCTACCTGTGTGAGCTGCAGCAGGCCGGGAAAGCAGATGCTCGTTTTTGCCTTGTTTCCCCACTTCCTCTTCATGTACTTATTAAATTTTTGCAACTGAATACTGAATCATGATTATCATTTAATTTACGTCACGAAATCATGGAGCTCCTTGGTGTTGTCGAAAGCCACACATGTGCTGCATAGGATTTCTGTCGGAAAGGATGTTCTCAATTGAAAATTTAAAATAAAAAAAGCCTGAAATGTGTTGAAAATGAACCATTCCATCCATTCAAATACACATGTAAACAACAGTTGAGTTTGCTGTCCATGGGATAGGATTTGCACGCATGGTAGTGGTTTCCAAATGAGAATGGTCTATGAAATTCTTTCCTAAGTCAGTACTATTTTTTTTTCTGGAGTCTTGAGAGATATATTCTCTCTCTCTTTGTTTTTATATTCAGAATCAGAGCTTTGCATTGAGAAAAAAAATCACCTAAGCTATTTTGACAGAGGACTGGTGCCGTGTGTGTGCGCGCGTGCATGCGCGCGCACGTGACTGAATATATTTTTATGCAAAGATCAGTTAACTCCATCAAAACACCCTATTGATTGGAGGCAACCTTTTCCGTGCTCATAGGACCCTCTGGTGGACACGCTGAAAGTGGGCAGGAGGGGCTGGTAGCAACAAGGAGTCCTCCTGAGCTGGCATGGTTCGGTTTTTCCCTTCAGCCGCTGTTCTGAAAGGAGACCAGCAGCAGGCAGTCAGCTGATGGAGGGTCAGACGAAGCGCGTTACAGCCCGTTGCCCTGCTCTAGGACAGTTTCATTATTGCCACGGCCCTGTTGTCACCCCTTCACCGGGAGGTTGTGGCTCCTCCGAGGCCTTCTATTTTATAAAGTGGTTTCATACTCCAACCGCTCCTGAATAAGGGCATCATCTTTGTACTGCAGCCTTGGAGGAGACGGGGAACATTCAAAGGCTAAAATGGCCTTTCGCAGGCTTCGGTCCAAAACATGTCTCTCCCACGCTGGGTACCTATTCCTGAACAGGTCAATTTTAATGACAGATTCTTCAATCCGTGGTGGGCGAGAGGATGGGGTGGAGGGGGCAGTGGGCCTCACCTGAAAGACAGGTACGCACCCATCGCGCTCAGCGAATTTCTGGTCGCGGTCGCTGGCGACACTGCGGTTGTTGGAGATGGACCGGAGCGTGCTTGTGGCCACTTCTGGAGGCAGAGTGAAGGCAGCGACTGGGTCCTCACAAGCACAACTTGGTGACTGCCCGAATCGGGGTCCGTTGGGGTGAAAGAAGGCATAATACATCAGCATAAAAACGACACCAGTTAAAAAGCTGCTGAACACCACACACAGCGCTGGGATGGCAAACGCATCTGCAATCTGGGGAGCCTTGTAGAGGTACCAGAGGGCACTCAAGGCCGTATTTTCCAACAGGATCACAAAATAGTAAATGAAGAGCCTGCAGCGTGTCCTGCCTTCCTTGACGTTGAACCAGCTGAAGATGTAGATGATCCCCACCACCATGTCGAACACAATCTCTTCCCATTTGGTGATGCAGAATTCTGTCTCACAGTGGACGATCCAGAAGGTCATGATGCACCAGTGGAGGACGATGAAGATCCCAAAGTACAGCTGGAAAACTGAGGCAAAGAGGGCGAAGGTGATGACTCTGGCGGCAATGGTAAAGAAGTGCCAGCAGAACTGGATGACAACGGCCATGTAGCTGATGGGCTTCTTGTCATCTCGAGAGTCCCGGAGGGCCTTCTGGTAGGAGGCCAAGGCCCAAGCCAAAGACACGAGGGAGGCTGCCGCTGTGAAACCTACAAAGGCAAAAAGGAAGACATTTTGTCAAAAGTGAGATGCAGTGCTGTCCCCTGAAAGTAAATCATGTGGTGCTGGAGCCTTGGGATAGGCTAGCTGTGACCTCAGTGAAGCCCTTCATTTCTTAGAGGTTTAGCTGGGCTAACCACTCAGATGGGGCTCCTAGTGTCTGTCCTCTGTGGACGCAACCATATGGAGAAGTCATGATGTTCGGCGGGAATACTGCTTAAAACACATGTGGGGGGGTGGGATCGGGAAAGCAGGTGGGGGGGTGAACTTTCCATGTATATGGTGGAAATAGATAAACTAAGGAGGTGGTTTTGTGGAGTGGGAAAATAACTATGGTCCAAAGACTGGGTTGCTGTGTCAACTCTGTGTGACTTTGGACAGTTGTTTAAACTGGCGTCCTCATTTACGAAGGGGATGATCTCCAAGGTTCCTGGCAGCTTTGAGATTCTCTGGTTGAAAGGGATGAATAATCACCGGAAACGTGAGGGGCTAGCTGATTTACCTTTCTGCTTCTAAACAAGAATAAATGCACTTCATTCACAAAAGGAAGTTTACTCTTTCTTACAAATAAGAAAAAAGAGGCCACAAAACCTCCTTGGCAATGTTTCTTGTCTTACCTGGGATGCAGTTTGTCCTACTCTAATCTGAACATAATTCTTCCTACAGCTTTTGTCTGTTCTGTACTGCCTTTCCCTTAGAAGACCTATCTGTTCACTGTCACTCACCGCTTATTCTTCTGTAGAAGGAAGATTGTACAGAAATCACCTCTCAACCATTTCTCTTATTTTATGAACCCCACTTGGTTAGTATGTTCTCTAAAAGTTTGTTTACAAGTTTTTAACGGAACTCGTATTATTTCCTTCCACTTTTGTTCCATCTGTGGTGTCTGAAGCATCACCTGTATGGGCCAGACATGGACAGGTCTCACCTGAAAACACACTGGCCTCCTTTGGGGAAGAGTTCATACGGGGAATTCACGTTGCCACGGGAACGTTAGTCAATCTGCATACTACCCAACAAGCTGTAACAAGACTTATCAAGACTAAGAATAGGTTTTGTGTTTTAAAGTCCAGCTGGTTTTTCTCCACAGATACTCATCATAACCAGGCCACATTTTAGTCTTTGGACTAGAATGGAAAAAGTAGAGGAAGGATTGCCACGAACTTGTGATGGAACTGGTACTGTGCTTTTATATTTTGACAGAGAAAATCTGTTGTCTATGATTCTTGAAAAATGAATTGAAAAAAAAATGACTCTTGTGGGAATGAAGCATGCTAATTGATGGAAAAAACAGTCAACCTCAACAATCATTTCTTGCACATTCTCCTTGAGTAAGGTGAACTCCAAAAAACAATATTGACGAGAAAATATTTTCAAACGGCCACTTCTCTTACCCACCCCCAATCAAGCTAACAGAACGCCCACATCTTACTCTGGATCTTCAGCTTTTTTTCTGGCTAGTGCAAAAATCTTCCGTTCCCATAACTCTCTGGCAATTATGGCAATATTTTAGGTCAGTTAGAGACCAGTGCACAAAGGAGTTTTTGATAATATAAGTTCTTTTCTTTTTCTTGTGTTTAAAATTTTTTTTCCTTTTTTTGTTGCTGTTCGTTTTGTTTCTTTTTTTCTCTTTGTAATGATAATATAATTTCTATGGGCGGGGGGAAAGACCGACATCAACTGTAAAGCAAATTTGGAAGTGAAAAGAGAGGGTAGGAAGAAAAATTAGAAAAAACAAGAAGGTGAGACAATGGGAAATAAAAGGTCACAGAATAACGACTCAGAACGACACCCTTATTTTCAGTTTAGAACATAAGAACAAAAGTTTGTGCCATTTTAGTCCCAACACCTTTGAGTGGCATAGGAGCTGCTCATGACCTCGTTCTTTGTACCATCCGCCAAGGTATGGATTGTTCTGGAGTAGACCGTGTCCTCCTTGTGTGTGTACGCTGCGCCCTAGCGCGGAGGCAGCACGGAAAAGCCCCTCCCTTTCCACATCCTCACGCCCTGGGGACCGGGCTCGCGCACAGCGCCACCTTCAGGAAGATGGCTGCGTTGCTGGTCAGGTGGACAAAGCGTGAGTGGTAGTCAGAACCATGAGGTTACCGGTTTTTATAGGCAGACCTTATTAAAGGCTGTTTTTCAAAGCAGTGACTAATAGTAAAAAACAAAAACCAAACCTTACATACACAGCATCATAAGATCATCTGTTGTCGCATTTAAAAGAACTAGAAAATTGGCTTAATCCAAATTCCCCTGTAATCTTCACCCCTTTTGTAGCATATCCTAAAAGAATAATTCAGCCTGCTCCAGGACACTTCAGGAACTTGGCAGTAAAAAAAGGAAGATTTTCTATCAGCTTTGCTTTCTGTGTATCTTACAATTTACAAAGTTGATTTTTTGCCTATAGCCAAGGCAAATTTCATGTCCATTGATGACTACTCCTTTTATGAATTCTCTGCTTTAGCAACAATTAGAATTTCCCTGGTTCATTTGATTTTTCCCCCCTTCTGTTTAGCAATTAATTTTTACAAGACAAATATATGCCTGACAGAAAATGTGGGGCAGTCTTAGATTATTCCTTATTACAAATTCACATTACTATGAAATGCTTAATTTTTTGCTTTTTTACACAAATAGTATCAGCTCAGTTATTTCAAGAAAGATTCTTTCAGTAAGGCACTGCATTATTATTAAAGTAGAATTTTCTGGAACTTCTGGGGCTGGCACATAGAACTCTAAGTACTATTTTAGCTAACAATGTATATTTTCACTTTTTGTTTGAAAATAATTTCAAATTTAACAGAAGAATTGCAAAAATAAAAGTAGTACATTGAATACCTATATAATCTTTGCCCAGATCATCATTTGGCCTCCCTTGCTTTATCACTCCCCCCACCTTTTTTCTCTCCCAACCATTTGAGAGTAAATTGCATACATCATGGCTGCTATGGTCTGAATGTTTGTGTCCCCCTCAATTCATATGTTGAAATCCTAACCCTTAAAGATGATGATATTAGTAGGAGGGGCCTTTGGGGGGTTCTTAAATTATGAGGGGGGTTAGTGACTTATAAAAGAGGCCCATAGAACTCCCTAAGCCCCTTCTGCCATGATGAGATACAATACAATGAGAAGGTCTTCAACGCAGAAGAGAGCTCTCACCAGACCATGCTGGCACCCTGATCTTAGCCTTCTAGGTTCCAGAACTGTGAGCAATATATTTCTGCTGTTTATAAACTACACAGCCTGTAGTATTTTGTTGTAACAGCCCAAAAGGACTAAGACAGTGGTCCTCTACCCTAAAATATATCAATGTCTATTTCTCATGCACAGAGGTATTCTTTTAGATAACCACAGTAAGCTTATCAACTTTAATTAATTTAACACTGATACAATACTTTTTTCCTAATCCACTGTATCCACTATCAATATTCCAATTTAGATCCATTATAAGATTTTTCCCTGTGGTACAGAATTGAGTCTGGAATCAGATATTGCATTTTGTTGTCTTATCAACTTAGTTTCCTTTAATCAGGAATATTTCCACCAACTTTCTTTCTTTGCCTTTTTGACACTGGCATTTTTTTGATGAGTACAGTACCAAAAAAAAAAAAAAAAAAGGAATGTTCTTTGTTTTGGGTTTGTCTGTTTCCTCATAGTCAAATATTTGGGTTACACATTCCAAGCTGGAATATTACATAAGTGACACTGAACAATATCCGCCCCCCCACCATTAAGATATTGAAATATAAAGATTCCCTCAGTAGTTCCAAGAAGTATATAATGTGTCCATCAGTATTTTGTTTCAAAATAATAAATAGCATATCAGTTACAAAACTTCACTCTAAAATAAAACTCCCAAAACAGCTACAGAGAACTCAATGGGATTCTATTACTTATTAAAATGTTAAAATAGATGATAACACCTCAGAGCTTATCTAGTGCCATGATCTCATTTTATAGAAAAGAAACCAAGTCTCCCTTGGAGAGGTTATGTGATTTATCTTCCCTCTTTCTTTCACCACGCTTGTTTCTGATGAAAATTGTCCTTCTACTCCATAGCTAACCACCCCCCTGCCCCCCGCTTCCCGGATCAAAGACCCTATCAGTTATCCCCTGTGTCTGTATCCCGGCTCTTTCTCCGCAGGAGTTCCTTCCCCAGGGATTACAAACATGTGACAAGCCTCCTTTAACCCCAAGAATCGCCCTTCACTTGACTGACTCTCTTCTCCTTTATTTCAGATTTGTCTCTTTCCCGTTTTTACTTCTCTTCTTTGTTTCTTGTTTCTCCATATTTATCTGCTCATTCTTGAGCTACTGGCACTGGTTGGGATGCTGTTCCTGGGCCTCCTCCCTTCGAAGCCTCTCCCTGAGAGATTTCCCTGTACTCCTCTTGTGTCTCCACCCATCCCGTCCACCTCAGCACTCAGCGAAGTCATCCCTGCACCAGACTTCTCCGGCCGCAGAGTTGTGTGTCTGATTATTTCCCTGAGAACCCGCGGGCTGTCTGTGTGCTTCTTGTACACACGATCGGATACCTGGAAGTGATCTGGCTGTAGATGACAGTGTTTGCTTTCTTGTGGAATGAAGACAATTCTTCCTCTACGCCCCCTGTTGTTAGTGTAATACCCTTCTCGGAATGAGAGAGAACATGAATTTCCGGGTAGGCTTCCACAGTTCTAAGAAGATGATTTTGTAGGCAGCTTGACAGACTGAGAAATGCCAGATTGCAAAGCCATCAAAATCCAAGTGTTTACAGTATGTGCCATTTGGGTGCGTTGCATCTGAAGGGGTCCAGTATAAACGACTGTGTTGTAAAAATTATTCCGAGCTGAAGGCATTTGAGTTCCTGGAATCTCTTGTCTGCCTAAAAGCAGAACATCTTAAAAGAACTCAACTGTCATAAATGCCCTCCCCTGGAGCAACTCGAATCATCTTGGAGAGGAGAAGTTGGCACCACACCCAAACAGACTATCGTAAAACTATAATATTTCCCATCTACTCTCTTAAGTGCTTTATCTTTACAAAAGTCATTTGTTTTTCCACAAATGCCCTTTCTTGCCCACTTTTGAGAAGTCATTTTTTTTCTCCCGGAAGTGTCCTTGTACCCCTCCCTATCCCCTATTAAGATAAACTCCAAAATCTAATGACCTCCTTGGAGTCACATCCCTTTGGGAACTCCTGTGTGTACATACATAATTACATACATCATTTATATATTACAACGTGATTACATATGTGATTCTATATGTAATTAAATCTGTATTTTGTCTTGCTAATCTGTCGATTTAATTTGCAGGCCCTCAGACACAGAACCAAGAGGGTAGAGGAGAAGTTGTTCCTTCCAGTAAACCCTCGCCACTGAATTGAGTCCAGCTGACCCCACATGTTTTTGTTTCCTCCCGGCAGCCTAAACAATTGATCTGACTTTGAATAAGAGAATTCAATGACCATAAAGTCAGTGGACAGTTTATTCCATCATTTGGAGCTGAATATTTATATATTTGGATAAGGTTTGGTAAGGGATGTAACCCCTTTGGAAATACGATCCAAGAATTTTTCTTTAAAAACCTCTAGATGGGGTGGGGGCTACTTCTAGCTTCCGAGAATTGTTGCAAACAGTGCTTAGTAATTCAGAGACTAGTTCCTTAGAGGAAGACTGAGGTATTTTTCCAATTTGAATAAAGATTTCTTTTTTCAGAATGAGGGTTTTGAGTCTGATACTAGCTAGTCAGCTAATTAGCATTTCAAAGGGAACTGATAGAAATCGGTATCGCGTTGTCCAAGTGAACAACAAAGTTTTGACTTTCTTCCCTCTTTTCTCCTTGCTTTTTATGGATGTCTTTTGCCCTACTGGTGTTTCCATTTCTCTTTTGTGTACTTTTCTTCCTTCTCTTACTTCTCCTTCTATCTGTCAATCACTTGTCCTTCTCCCCCACTTTGCTTCTGTTCTGTCCTTCTTCGCTCTTTTTTTCCCATTTCTTGGGGAAACATGACATGGAGTCAAATTATTATTATGATTTTTTTAAAATTTTATTTTATTATGTTATGTTAATCACCATACATTACATCATTAGTTTTTGATGTCGTGTTCCATGATTCATTGTTTGCATATAACACCCAGTGCTCCATGCAGAACGTGCCCTCTTTAATACCCATCACCAAGCTAAGCCATCCCCCACCCCCCTCCCCTCTAGAACCCTCAGTTTGTCTCTCAGAGTCCGTAGTCTCTCATGGTTCGTCTCCCCCTCTGATTCCCCCCTTCATTTTTCCCTTCCTACTATCTTCTTTTTCTTTTTTTTTTTTTAACATATAATGTATTATTTGTTTCAGAGGTACAGATCTGTGATTCAACAGTCTTACACAATTCACAGCGCTCACCATAGCCCACACCCTCCCCAATGACTATCACCCAGCCACCCCATCCCTTCCACCCCCCACCACTCCAGCAACCCTCAGTTTGTATTTTTTAAACAGTAGTTGTATTAATGAACTAAGGTTTGGTGTTGCCCAAATGTAACCTTCCAACTGTTCCTAAAACTAAAATAAATTCAAAATAAGAAAGGAAGTTACTCTATTTCAATGTCAAGGGTCTGTTCTACCTGCTTGTCTCTGGTCCTTGCTCTGAATCCTATGGCTTTGCTCCAAATCCAGATTTGCTTTCAAAGAGCTCCCACTGAAAGGATTCATTACTGCTAACTTCTGTTTTTTATTACAAATAACTTGCTTTCCTATAATCTTCCTCTAAGTTGGATCTAAATGCAACATTTTTTTTAAAAAAGATTTTATATATTTATTTGTCAGAGAGAGAGAGTACAAGCAGGGGGAGTGGCAGGCAGAGGGAGAAGCAGGCTCTCTCCCCGATGTGGGACTCGATCCTGGAACTCCGGGATCATGGCCTGAGCCGAAGGCAGACGCTTAACCGACTGAGCCACCCAGGTGTCCCTTAAATGCAATCTTAATGACAGATGTAGAAAATTTTTATATTTTATTTAGGATAACATAACAGCTTAGAGAGGCACCTGGGTGTCTCAGTCATTAAGTGTCTGCCTTCGGTTCAGGTCATGATCCCAGGGTCCTGGGATCGAGCCCTGCATTGGGCTCCCTGCTCTGCGGGAAGCCTGCTTCTCTCTCTCCCATTCCCCCTGCTTGTGTTCCTGCTCTCGCTATCTTTCTCTCTATCAAATAAATAAATAAAATCTAAAAAAAAAAAAACAGCTTAAAGTAGGGTTGATGGGGGCTAGGGGAGGGGGTTGTGGGCAAAAGCTCTACTATCTCAAATTAAACCTTTCCTTTCCAAAAGAATGGAAAGAATGGGGCTGGTATGGAATATAAGACCCTTGGAAATATTATAATTCAAGAAACTGTTTTGATTTGGGGACCTCTAGACTAGGAGGGGCTACTTCTGGCCCCCAAGTGTAAATTTGTTCTTTCTACAAACATGTTTTCATTTAAGGTATGCCGTATTCTTCCTTCAGGGCACATATCCTGGTCTAAAATTAGGTCTGATTTTGTGCTTTATTTCATGTTAATGTTAATTATTTAATTTAAATTTAATTATTATGTTGCTCGCTAGAGTGGACCTTTAGGTAAGGATGAGTACCTGCCTTGTTTACCTTCCTATCCTTTAGTGCCTTGTGTGGTGCCTGCCATCATGTTAAGAATTGGCACTTTGAGAGAGAGAAGGCAAGGTAGAAAGGAAGGGAGAGAGCAAGAGGAAGAAATAGAGAGGGAGAAAGAGTATTGCAAATGTAAAGCTGGAACCACAGAGAGAATGAGATATTCAAAAAATATGCACAATTCTTCATTGCTCTCCTCTGCTTCTTTGCAATTTCAATCTGAGTTGCAAATGCCAAAACACTGAGAAATAAAGTCTGTACTCCTGTCGTGTTGTTTGTGGTCTGGGTGTAAACAATTCTTGGAAATCCCCAGAGAATGCTTCCTAGGATTTATAGCCTAATTCCCCAGATGTAGGAGGTTCGGGAAATTGAACCAAGTACTCTAATTCTTTGCTTCTTCAACAAACAGAATGAGCCTGTCTCTTTCCTCCTCCTGAGGGAGGGCAGTTGTAAACCTTCCCCGGCAGAGGCCAGCCAAAGGCTACAGTCTTAGCAAAACACCTGGCCACTGACCCACGTTGATAACCAAACTGCCGCTGGTAAGAAAGGGCTTTTTTATTTTTAACTTAAAACATTCATTATTATGTAAAATTTCAAGCATCTACCAAAACAGAGGGAATGATACAATGGATATACACTTCCTGCAGAATCAGTATCCATCACCAGGGAAGATGACTTTCGGCCAGCAGGGAGACGCCTCTGGATGTCCCCTTGGATCCACTCCTTCTTGAATCGGAATCTTCCTGCATCTACCCTTTCCTGAATGCTCCTTTCCCTGTACTGACTGAGACAGAAGGGCTTTGCTAGAAACTAACTCGCTGATCACCGGTGTTTTACCAGCACCTTTTGGAAAGCCTTGCCCAGTAGCTTTCAAGGCCACCTGACCTCCCCTGTCTCATCTTGTCCCTGCCTCTCTGCACTTCAGACAAACTGCCTTGTCTCCATTCCTCACATGCTCAATAAGACTGCATTTTCGGGTGCCTGGGTGGCTCAGTCAGCTAAGCATCTGCCTTCAGCTCGGGTCATGATCCCACGGTCCTGGCATCGAGCCCCGCTTCGGGCTCCCTGCTTAGCGGGGAGCCTTCTTCTCTCCCTCTCCTCCCCACTTAGGCGGTCTCTCGCTATCTCTGTCTCTCTCTCTCAAATAAATCAATAAAATCTAAATAATAATAATAATACAAGACTTCATTTTCTTCCTAGAAACAGGAAATGCTGGGCTCCCTCTTGAAAAGCCACTTCTCTCCAGTGAATCCCTATTCACCTTTCAGTTGGCAGTTTCAGCTTCATTCCTTAGGGAAGTCTTTCCTAGCCTCCAACCCAAATCCTGTCACTTGTTGTCACCCAAATCCTTGTCATCTCGTGTTTGTTCTTCACTCTGCACCCCGGCACACCTGCTGTCATTATACATTCGTGTGGGGTTGATAATGGATATGTCTACCTGAAAGGGCTGGATCCGTGTCCTATGGCTGACCATTGTCCCTGACATCTGTCACACTCTTGTGTAACAGTTTCTGAAATTAGTGAATTTGTCATCTAAGTAGCTGCTCTCATATTGTGTATTTGCCCACTCTCTTGATTTCATCCTTCCTTTCACCCCATTTTTTTCATCTTGTCAATTTCAACATTTTTGTTGGAAATTTAAGGTATTTCCTCACCAGTAGTTTGGGAACGGATGATTTACAACACCACCCTTCCCAGCTTTGCAGGTGAGATGATCATTTAACCATTCATACCATATACGATCTTATCACTAACACGATAACTTTTTCTCCTAAACGCACAGTCCCTAATCAAACAAACGAGACACGGAATTTTAGATGACGATATAATATTAATTTCCTGTCGTCAAAAAACTTTATGGTTTCCTTAGTGCATTGGAGGCTCATAATCATAGACAAATAAAAGAGGAGCAAGCATTTGTTGGGCCCTTGATTTGTGCACTGTGATTTGATTTGTGCACTGTGATGTGCTGGGTACCTACATCTTTTGTCGCATCTGAAGTTCACGATAACACTTTGAGGCAAGCACTGTTTTGAACTCAGGGAAACAGAGACGCAAAGAGTAAATAACTTGCGGAAGCATGTGTAATTAGCGAGGAGGGCAGGCATCGAAATTCACAGATTCCAAACTCTGTCCACCATGACAGGAGATGGGTATGACTATATGCAACAGGGACGCGAGGCATGAACAAGTGCAGTGAGTTCTCAAATCTCTCACGGTCTAAGGTCACGGGATGACAGCATGGCGAAATGTACATGACCCTGGAAAAGCGCCACCGATTCGGGCAGCCGACTCCCACAGGGTTCCCACCACACCTGCTCCTTCAGGCTCACAGCAACCATATTTGTTCCCAGGCTCAAGGATCCCATTTCGGATTCTTTATACAAAACAAAGCATGAGCACCTAGGAGGAAAATCATGCTTTTCTTTCCTTCACATTTTCTGGATTAAAACAGCCCTCCTGGTTTCCCTGCATTTTCACCTAAGGAAAAACGTTCCCAATTTCAGTGGATTATATGATCTAAGAGTAGGAGGTCACAAAATGAAGATCCAGAACCAGAGTGGTTTTCTATTTCTTCAGCATGCTTAGAACTTGTCTTAGTTACAGATATAAAAGCAGTAAATCCTCTCGGCTGGACTCATATCGAATTCACCTGGATGAAAGAATGTAATAATTGAAAAAAATGGAAAGCCCTCTGTGCTCTGATCTTCTGTGAGTGCGTGGAAGGTAAGTAAGTAATACAAGCTCCACCGGGTCTCGGATGTTCTAAGTCTTGCATTGAAGCCATTTATCTCTGTTTTAAACCTTGTAATAGTTCTGATTAAAAATATTTAAATGCTTAATATGTTTAGTTTTGGTAAGGATATGCATACTTCTCGTAATCCATTCTGAGGATTTCAACTTCTTTGCAAGGCAAATTGTAATGCTGCTAAGGTGTTGATAAGGGAAACACTGAATTGAAATTTAAAAAAGTGTTTTAATATGAAAGTAGTTGAAGAAAGTTGTTGAGAGAAGCAAAGTGTCTTAACGAATGTGGGAAGTTATTTCCTTCTGATTGGAAAAAAAATCACAGATGATTTCACATAGCTCCATCCATTTGATAATTTTAAATTTTATTATTTTTATTAAAATTTCCCAAGAAGACAAACATTTTGTGTGGGGGACTTTGAAAACATTTCATGCTTTCTCTAGGAAAAAAAATTCTGTAAATAAGAGAAGGCAAGAAGTCACCATTCTCCGTACAATATTACAAATTGCATGGTTAAATTTATACTGAAAATAAAGTGATGATAGAAATTGCTACTCAAAAGACATAAAATAAGTAACCTGAGTAAAATTCAATAGGATTGCATATTTCTTTAAGTTTATTTTCTATCCCTTTAAAATTTTTTTAACCACCATGCTATTTTTTTCTTTAAATTTTTCTCCTTTAGGGTAGGCGGTGAAATGGGGCAAAATGAAGAGAAATAGAGAGGGAAACAGGGGTAGAGACAGACAGAGGCTGTCCTTCTCCCACCCACCAAGGAGGGACATGGCTGGACAACAGCAAGACTAAAATAATAATTAAAAAAATCCCAGCATGTATCAATCATTGCCGTATGGCTTTGTCACATTTATTATTTTATTTATTTCTCACAGCATCACTTCCTTGATGTAAGTGATTTTGCCCATTTTACAGATGGGGAAACTGAGGCCTAGGGGGTGAAATAATCTTACCCCGGGGGGACGGCAAAGGTTTTTGGTGAAAGGCCAGATCGTCAATATTTTGCGCTTTGTGGGCCACAAGGGTCTCTGTCACAAGCATTCAGCTTTGTCATTGTAGCAAGAAAGCAGCCATAGACAATCCTTAAACATATGAGAATCTAGGCAGTGGGCTGTCTTTGGCCCACTGACCTTTGTCTCCTGACCGTTCCACTAACGCAAGGGCACATTTTTAAACAAGTAGCAGAGTTAAGATTTATACCCACTTTTTTCTGACTTCAAAGTCCTTTCCCTTAAACTCATTTGAAATATTTTGGGCCAATCATGAGACCCGGTAACTTTGGGAACGCTTTGTTAGGTGGTTACAGGGTGAGCTACCAACCAAATGAACAGACAGAACTATAGGAAACCTCTTGGTCTCAGTGTACTGAATGTACAGGATGAAGTTGGGGCATGAACAAGCCTTTGCACCTGGGGTGATCTGATGAGAGCACAAATGCTACACCTCAAACACTTCTCTGTCTTTTCAAGGAAAGCAGTAGCATTTGCAAATGAAAGGGCAAGTGGCCCACAGTTTGGGCTGGTCTGGAAAGGCCAGTTCCTGAATGTGGCCTGGACAGCCAGTCACACCAGCAGAAGCATCTGAAACAGGGTCTTTTAGTTGTTTCTCCTTCCTGATGTTCCCAAGGTGCCTTTGTGGTCTGCCATGCGTGCGAAGTTGATGGCCCACATGCCACACATCACCTGCTAGCATCACCAGTATTGACAGTTACCAGCCTACTTAGGGGGATCGGGGATTCAGGGCATCCGTGGGAGAGTGGCCGTCTGAATCCCCGGGGTTTATAATCAAGTGTTAACTCTAATGGGGACTACTGTCTAGTCCCCCACATTTACAGTTATTCATGCTCAGAGGACTTGGAAGGGGCCGCGAAGATGGGAAATGGTGACAAAAAGTGCCAGGCACTGAGGACAACTGATGCAGGCCCTAGAGAAACTGCAAATCAGTGTTGGGAGACAGAGACAGAGTCACAAGCACGTGATTGCAACCTGGCGAGCAAAGTGTGGAGAAGAGAGAAGAGTGTGCCCAGAGGCTCTGTCCTGAAGGGGAAGCAGCCCAGGAAGGGGCAGGCACATGCCAAAGCTTACAGATGTTTTGAGGGGGTTTGAGGGGAGCCGGCAGGAGGACCGTGGACAGAGTGTACCATACCTAAAGACTTGTACCCGGACCGCATCGTGGAGGCAAAGGCACCCACGTGGAAGGGTGTGTGTCGTCCCTGAGGTGCAAGGTGAACTAGAGTGGGGGAAAAGCTCCAGGCAGGGGTGGGAGGCTTTGCCAGACATCTGAGGGAGACAGCAGTGAGGATGGCAGAGGCTATACCTGCCAGCCGTGGGACTCTGGACAAATCACTTGATTTTACTTATTCTTCATAAGCTTGAGCAAGGATCAATGAAATAGTGTCCATCAAAGCATTTTGTGAGCAGAAAATGTGCTATATAAATAAAATTAGCCATTCCAAATCCTAGCTTTTCTCCTAATTTTGCTCCCTTCTACCCATCCCCCCCTCCTTGTGCCCAGGAGCTCTTCTGTACCTGGATTCAGAGGAAGTTTTTACCAGAGGAGGTTGGCTTTGACAGAATAACAGAACAGAGGAGCAGGATAAGAGGTCCTATCTACAGGGTAAGGAAACATTTTTTTTTCTCTTTACAGATATTAAATATTTTTTCGACAGGATACAATTTCTAAAAATCATGTTAAAATAGGAAGAAAAAAATAATTGGTATTATTTGCCTTGGTGAAATATGTACTTCATTTTATTTGTATTAAAGGGCGATAAAGCAGAGTCCACTCGGTTGGAAGGAAGGAAGGGATGCAGAAGAAATGGTTTGGGGTTTACAAAAAAGGAGGAGGCAGGGACGGGTTTTGCGGGCACAGTCTTGGGAAAGCCAGGTCACTGGAACAGTGTTGGTGCACAGGGTTTGCCTGAATTGTATACACAAAAAGAGGGTTCTCAAAGAAGGGTATGGCTCCACCTAGAGCACAGGCCCCCCCAAGAACCCTAGGACCTCTGGGCACCAGGTGGGTCCCTCCTAAGGCTGGAGGGAAGGCAGTGGAGACAGGGCGGAGGGCAGGGAAGGGAGCCTCCAGGTAGAGTAAGACAGTGAGGGAGACTGGAGGAGATTATGCGAAGTGAAGTAAGTCAAGCAGAGAAAGTCAATTATCATATGGTTTCACTTACTTGTGGGACATAAGGAATAGCATGGAGGACACTAGGAGAAGGAAGGGAAAAATGAGGGGGGGAAATCGGAGGGCGAGACGAACCATGAGAGACGATGGACTCTGAGAAACAAACTGGGGGTTCTAGAGGGGAGGGGGTGGGGGGTTAGCCTGGTGATGGGTATTAAGGAGGGCACGTTCTGCATGGAGCACTGGGTGTTATATGCAAACAATGAATCATGGAACACTACATCAAAAACTAATGATGTAATGTATGGTGATTAACATAACATAAAAAAAAAAAGAAGACAGTGAGGGAGAGGAGATGGTTGCCCCCAAAGCGTGTTGAGGTCCTTGGGAAGTGCAACACACACTTCATTTATCTGCTTTTGATCACTTATTTTCCCTGGCTTCATGCCTCAATTTCGGCAGAAATGGATATACTTTAAAAACACCGTGCTTTTTTTTTAATTTAATTTTTATTTATTTATTTATTTTTTACTGGTTGTAGCTTTCTCTAAGGCTCTCCAACTTCTGATTGTTTCCCTGGCCTTCAG